TGTTAAAGTTCAACCTACAGCCCTCCGCAAACAGGACGCGTGCCGTCGGGGTTTTATTCTGGTGGGACTCTGCCGCCGGCCGCTCGTCTAGCACGCAATTTTACGCTACAGCTCACCATGAGATTGTCTTGTGTGGATTCATTGCGAGCCCGCAGGGTATACGCAGGTGCTTATGCTGAGGTTCGTTTGGTGCATAGTTCTATCACGAGCTCTGCTTACATCTTCGCGCTTTTCCAGTGGCGTCGGCCCCGCAGAGCATCTACGTAAGCATAATATCACCGCAGTCAGAGATCTGCCTGGCTTTGGTTCAGAGCTGGTGTGTTGCGGCTCACTAAAGTTGTAATATCCCTGTTGATGTAGTCTACAATTTGTAGCAGGACCATATTGGCATCCCGCTCTCTACACGGTATCGCCGGACGACACTGCACCCTCTACAAATGTGAGCGCAGAAAATTATTCGCGACCAAGGAGATGCTCAAAACTTATTCTTCGGGCGCGGCCTTTTCTTCTTCCCGAATTTACAGCCTTTTGTGTTCGCACAGTCCCAGTATCTTGACCAGGATTTCAAAACCGTGCCGTCCGATGCTTCCGCACCCGACGCCCATCTTGTTTCAAATACTCCCAACATCGAAATCATACATATCCCCTACTATACTTGGGAGTTCCGGAAGATGAAGGATGACAAGGGTGCCATGCCTTTCTTCTGCATATTGCTCAAGCCACACTTGCGCGGTGCGGTGCGCCCGACGTCGGTCGACTCCTGCGCCCGCCCGGCGTGTGACCTAACTTCTCTGAGTGACGAGCAGGACTGGTTTATGCTGCGTAACGCTATTCGACTCGGACTTGCCATGGCGCGTAAGGCCAAGGAGGGTGACTATTCTCTCTATGTCATGTTGCAGCCAGAAAGCGAGACCAATGATGCCATCTACACCTTCGTGCACAAGAGTATTCGCATGACGTTTCACTACTCATTGACGTACCGCATGGCCCCCGAGGCTGAAGGAGGCATCGTCGATGATGAGCCGCGTATGTACGGCATTGAAGATTTGCGCATCGCTGAGGCAAGTATCTTCCCAACTATACCTGCAACACACCTTCAGGTACCCACGGCGATGGTCGCTGCACGGTGCGCAGACTTCCTCAAGAACGCTCGGTCTTCGAAGTAATTTTTATCCACTTTTGATTAGTTCTTCAAGCCGTCTATTCTCTGTAGCATTTGCACAGAGATAGTAAATGCCATGCTACAAGTCAATTATGTCTTCTTTTGCTTTATACTACATTCTCAGTAGCAAGCTCACCGCATTATGTTTATTTCTTGTATCTTTAAACTGATGCCCCAAATGCAAGCAACCGGTTTCTTACTCTCTCTTACCCTATCTCGTCCCCTGTTTCAAATTCGCGCTTTATATATCTTTGCCTCTGCTCAATTTCATTTTGCTCCCATCCATTCCCAGCTACCACTCTGGTGCAGCGCGGTAGCGGCAAATTACCAGAAGGCTGCCTTGGGTTCGGTCATAGTATTTGCCGAGATCCGGATCCAGGCACCTTGACTATCTTCACAGCCCACGGAATCAACGAAAACAGCCGCCACGAGGACAGCCGCCACGAGAATATCAGTCGCGGAGCTACCTCTTGCACTAGTATCATCATTTGACCTCAACGTTAACGTTTAGCGTGGGATGCTATTGTGATACGTACGTTACGGCTCGAAAGGCACTCGTTAGATGGAGAGTTCGCGCATGATTCATCAAGCCCGATAAGATGATGCTTCCGATCAAGCATACCGTGACGTGTGGGTCCAGCCCTAGCCATTCCAGTACGCTCGGAGGGTTCCGAGCGGGACTGAGCGGGATCAAAGGACAGAGACCCCATCTCCTCCGCTCGGAAAATATTTCCAGCTTGAGAAAAAAAGTAAGCGCAGCCAAGTGAATGTCAAGCTGCTTAAGGGGCCACGAATCGGGGATGATTGGCAGGGCCGCCTGTATGCCCGCATCCTTCGCATGATAGCCCAGTCCAGGAGAAGTCGGGAGGTCTCCCCTCGGACACGTCGTTCTTCGCTTGAGAGGATGCTGCCCCGGCCTGACAGCTGGGCCTTGATACTGCGGTTTCTGATCGTTATTCCTACAGTTTGATAAGGAAGAGACATTTACATTTGTACCCTCTTTGTTCATCTTCCACAGGGCACAGCATTCAATATCTAACAGCAATGGCAAAACTCTGCTTTCACATTGTCCCGGCTACTGTAGTGCTTATTTTCTTTCTTTTTTTTTCTTTTTTTTCTTTCTTTATTCCTTTATTTATTTATTTATTTATTTATTTTGGAATTCCTGCAGCTTACAGCCACCAACAAAACATTAGAACACCTGTGCAAATGTTCGCCTCGCAGCTTTCCTTACTTTTAGACGGAACAAACAAAGGATCGGAATCTCCGCGCGAACATCTGCTTAATTGAGCACAATAGCGGTAAGTAAAAAGATATTCACTGCAGCGGACACGGTCGTAAGACGGAGTATTTTTTTTAAAATGATAGCTATTTTATCACAATTGAAATGAAGTAAAGAAAGCTGCGATGCAAATG